AGTACTTATTATTGACTGTATGCAGCATATATAGTATATATAGCTCACACACGTCACATTTGTCAGCAAGTCATACTTTGCATGTAGCGATAAATTTACCGATTTTAGTATTTTGCGAGTGTGCATACCATTTACCTGCCACAAGTTTAATAATGGAATTAAACATGCACGGTGTTGTTATCAATGTTCGAATGTGATCTAATTATTAGATTCAATTTCTTCACAGCTCTTATTCTCGTGGCGAAGCCTTGGTGTTGAATTCCAATATGGTGATTACCACACACCTGTGCGAATTTGCGCCTCATTTAAACGAGCCCCTCTAAGCCTCTAATAATACACAACCATTCAATTGTTATTTAGAAATTTAATTAATAAATTCAATCTGAAAACAAATATTGAACAATAAATAAGTTTGCTACTTCTTTGCAAATATTTTGAGATACCTTTCGTAAACGACGGTGGACATTAATGTATGTTGCGTGTTCAAGTAACTGGTAACTTGTGGCGTGCGCACGCTCATTCATGATTGAATTATACTATTCGCAGTGTGTGGACAGATGGCATACCCGTTGAAGAAGCAATAACAACTTGAACCGAATGACGACTGTTTTCATTTTCTGAGGAAAGAAGGGAACCGGAAGTTATCCTAAACAAACCTGTAGGTCTGATGATATTGTTACTCCGTAACGAAGCGTATGGAAAGTGTAATTGATAGAGCCAGTGTCGGCAGTTGTGTACTACATTGATATTTGCAGCGGTCTCTATTCATTTTGTTATGTGCGGGATAACTGATTAAACTCATGTCCATGAATTCAAATATCGCATTGCTTGAAACAATAATGATAATTAATTCAACATTACTTACTGCAATTCGATAATATTATAGATTTTAAGAGAAACGATCGGAGTGGACAAGATGATACTGCTAATATTCGGAATTAATTTTGTCCTGTTAATATGGGTTATTATTAGTAATAATGCACTTCTATGCGAGAAGAACTTTGGTTTAATAGGTAAATATAGTTTCAAAATACAACACTATCCGTTTTAGGGGTAATTTTAAAAATGATAAAAATAAGCAATCAACCCATTTGACGGATAGAAAATTAAAAGATGAATGAAATAGAATAGATGCAGTGCATATATTCAGAGTCGAGGATTGAGTGTAAATGGGATCGCAATAGATGAAATTAATGATTTTTTATGTCCAACTATTTTTTCTAAGGAATTTGATGTGCCCGGAGGGACTGTATCCGTAACAACAATACCACATGAGAACAGATTTGCCCTTTTCATTTATGTCATTGAGGAAGGGGTTTCAGTTAATTACTCATCTGTTTTGAAGTGTCAATGTTCACACATATGGGGTATTGAATCTACAGTTTCACGAAAGGTTTGAATTTTAGTAAACACACTTATTCACGCGATTGATAATATCTTTTACAACAACTATACATGTTTTTTTTTAAATGTTTCACCTGAACTTATCTTATTATTTTTACTTGATTATGTGATTTGTTTATCGTTATGTTATGATTACTGTACAATAGTGCAAAGTGTCTCACCATGAAACGCCATATTTGATATATTTTGTTTTAAAAAATGATAATGTTAATGATTTTTTACCATGTTATCAGTGTAAATACATTTTAAAATGTGTCTAAGTTACAAGCACTTGTCAATATTCAGTTTGTGTTTTACTTTACAAAGTAATGATAAACACTATTTCAATATATAATTCTAGTTGAAACTCTTTTCAAAATATGTGTCTAGTGAAATCACTTTTTAAAAAGTTGTGACAGTAAACACTTCATTAAAACGTGTCTTCGGGTGAGACATTTTCCTACGTGTCGTGATTATAAACACTTTACAAAATATGTGTCTAGTAAAAGCACTTTTAAAAGTGTTGTGATAATAAACACTTTTTTGGAAACACTTTACAAATGTGTGTCTTTAAATGTTTTATCACAAAACGGTAACATTGTTTTATTTTAAAACAGTAATGTTGTAAAATAACTCATTTGCGATTTTAAGAAAAACACTTAATGTGCTTAATTATAAATCACTTAAATGTGATTTTAAAGTGGGGACAAAAATGTGTCATATTTTAAAACACTAAGATTTACAGAGTACATATGCTATTATATTTCATTGAAGCAGCTTCACCATTGACGCAGAGAGAAATGAACATGCTATATATAGTGTAATGTGGCCTAGGTTCAAAATGCATAGATGGAATGTCTTTGGTTGTCTCAAGCATTGTCGAGGACGGTGATTTCCGACACGGATCATACAATATATATATCGTAATGTCTGTATAGCATCATATTACGTAATTTGTGTGTTTCCGTACATATGACATAAAATAATCCATTATATCCATAATATTATTATATATATATTCTAGTTCTAGGCGTCCATAAATTTATATTGTTCAAGGTGTCTATACTTCCATATTGTTTTAGGCATCCATACTTTCACATTGTTCAAGATGTCCATACATTCACATTGTTCTAGGCATCCATACTGTCACAATGTTCAAGGTGTCTATACTTTCACATTGTTCTAGACATCCATAATTTCACATTGTTTTAGGCATCCATACTTTCACATTGTTCAAGGTATCTATACTTTCACATTGTTCTAGACATCCATACTTTCACATTGTTCTAGGCATCCATACTTTCACAATGTTCAAGGTGTCTATA